CGCCGTCTTCGCGTGGCCCGTGAGCGCGCTGAGGAAGGGGCTCCGCGTCGCGCTGTCCTCCACGGACATCTCGACGACGGAGAAGGCGTCGGACATGGCCTTCGTCAGGCCCTCCGTCGGGTCGCCCATGGCGCACAGCGCGCCGGTCGACCGAGGCGCGACGCGGGCAGCTTAGGGCAGCTTAGGGACCCGATTTCCGGATGGCTGGTCTATCGCATCGTGACTGATCACTGGTTGCGAGTTGCAGTGGATACCCCGTCGCTTGAACTTTTGCAAGCCAAGACAAACTTTGAAGAAATCCTAGCTTCTAGAGGGCTAGAGACCGTGTCTCCGCAGGAGTATTTCAGCGGCCGATGATGGAATCTCCACCTTAGAGGGCCCCGCGCTCCTCGAATCTGCAGCGACGTGAAACGATCCCAGTGGCTTTGAGGTCCGCAAACATGCGGGTGAGGCACATGAAAAGACGCGACATCCGGACGATTGCGAGGCGACGCAAACGGGCAGCCTCAGGGGGTGGAATGAGGCGCGGCAGCTTCCCCCGACCCGATTTTCGGTCCCCTTCGAGTCACAGAGCGTCGGGAATCGTTCGTCATGGGGGCGACCAGGTGCCCTCGCGGCAGCTCTTCGACTCGAGCCGATTTGATCGAGATTACCTCACCGGCTCCGAGAGGCGCGCGGCGCCGCGGGCGACACGGTGCTCACCGCGCAATGCATGAGGCGAGCTGTCTGGCGGAAATTCGAAGGTGGTCTCTGGCAGGGCATGCCGGGGGCGCATGCAAAAGTCCGCCAGACAGCTCGGACCTCAGCACTAATGCGAGCCCCTCGTCGGTCGCCCCCCACCGATAACGGCCGTTCTCGTCATCCACGGGCTGCCCCGACGCGAACTAAGTTGCTCGCCTTCGACCGATGGTCTTTCCCGAGCGACTCGCAGCCGGGCCCAAGGCGCGACATGGTCCACAGACCGAGCGCCGCGCCAAGTCCTGGAACCGCTGCATCGCGTGCCCAAACCTGGGCGAGGCGGCCAGGATCAACCAAGTGATGTCACGCCGAGCGTCAACATGGCAGAGTATCGACTGCAACTCGCAACCAGTGCATCGCTGATCGTGTTCGGCAAAGTGCTGTGCTCCTTGAACCTTCGGCTGCCCGAGATGGGCCGCCTCGCGGCCTGCGCCGTGGTCCTCGCTTCCCGTGCAGGCGGCCTCTACCTCGACGTGCCCGTCGACGGCCGCGTGCTGACCATCGAGTACGAGGCGAGCAACACGTACACGGAGCTGTGGCGCTACGCCGAGGCCTTTGAGGCCGAGCACGGCCTGCGGCGCTTCTACGACCAATGGGCCAAGTGCGCGCCCGTGATCTACGCGCGCTACAAGTGCGTCACGTCGGAGATCCTCAAGGCCATGCAGGCGCACCGCGACGCCGCGCACGCGCTCGCCAAGGACTTCGCGTACCGCGCGATGGGCCGATGGGACGCCTTTTACGCCGCGGGCGACGACGCGTGCTTCGCGGCCTACTGCGCCGCGCACGCGGACCTGGCGGACGCGCTCTGCGGCGGCGCGGCCTGCGACGCGCC